CCCCCCCCCCAGCTCACCTCCCTGCTCCCCAGGTGCACAGCCTGCAGGAGCTGCGGCGCAGTGCGTCCCTGGCCACCAAGGTCTTTGTGCAGCGGGATTACAGCGAAGGCACCACGTGCCAGTTCCAGACGAAGTTCCCCGCCGAGCTGGAGAGCCGGGTAGGGAGCCTGGCAGGCCAACGGGGGGGGAGGTGCCCTGTTGGGAGAAGGGTCTGAAGTCATGGGGCCCCCGTAGCTGGCCCCGGGCCAGCCGATGCTGCTGGGTGCACGCAGTCACAGCCACAGCCACCTTGTCCAGCGTGCAAGGGCTTGGGTGCTCCTGGGGACCAGAAGGCTCTGGGGCAGAGCTGTGGGTTCAGCAGGTCTTGGCATGGTGGGGGAGGTGGGCAGGGGCCAGGGAGCTGAGGGTTAAGTGCTGGGCAGGGAGGAGAGAGTTAAGTGCTCCCCCAAGTTGCTCTGGGGATGGGGACAGGAGCCTGCAGGGGGTCAGCCTCTGGCTGGGCTCTTCTTCACCCCAGTTTCTGCTCTAGATCGAGCGGCAGCTCTTCGAGGAAACTGTGAAAACCCTTAACAGCTTCTACGCCGAGGCAGAGAAGATCGGGGGCAGCTCGTACCTGGAGGGGTGTCTGGCCTGTGCTACAGCCTATTTCATCTTCCTCTGCATGGAGACACACTATGAGAAGGTGCTGAGCCCCGGGGATGGGCATGGGCAGGCTGGGCGGTGGGCACAGGGGTGGCACAAGGAGCAGGGGGGCTGGAGGCCAGAACTGGCATCAGGGCTGGCAGGCCCTGAGCTTTGCTCTGTGTGCTGCCAGGTCCTGAAGAAGATCTCCAAGTACATCCAGGAGCAGAACGAGAAGATCTATGCACCGCGGGGGCTGCTGCTCACCGACCCCCTGGAGCGTGGCATGAGGGTCGTATCCTCTGGGCAGCAGGGAGCTGGGGGGACAACAAGGGTGAAGGGTGGGGGGGGACATGACACTGGGGGGGTGGGTGCTGGGCA